TGCCTCTCGCTGAGCCTGGGTCTCTCTCTCTCCCTCTCGGGGGGCGGAGCGGTGCTGGGGAAATGCAGGGTCGGACCGAGGGCGGGGGGTTTAAGAAGCCCCTGGGCCACGGGGGGGCCCCCCCTCCCCAGGCTCACGTCAGAGCGCCGGCCTCCCAGGAATGCCGGCCGGCGGGGCTGGCCTGCGGGGGGTGGGGGCAGGGGCGGGGAGGGGGACCAGAGAAGGCCCCGCCTACCCCCTCAGTAGCGTAGGGGATCTGAAGGGAAGGGGGACCAGAGAGGGGTCTTCCCCAAGTTCCTCCTCCTACCCTCATACCAATCTGACTCCCCCCCTCCCCAGCCAGAGTAACAAAGGTTTGTCATTAGGATACTGCTCCCCAAATCTGCTCTTCTGCCAAGGTCAGAGATAGGAGAGAATAAGGAAAATGGAGAGTATCATAGGGCCTTCTCCTCCCCCGTTCTGGTCCCCTCCCTTTCCTCCCCCACCCCCATATCTGAGCTGAGTCACAGGTGGGGATGAAGTCTTAGATGGAAGGGAGAGGAGAAACAGAGGTGACTAAGCCTTAGAGACAGATTGGGGAAACTGAGGTTTAGTGGAGGGGTTGGAATTGGGAACAGAAGTCTAATATTGCTGGACAAGTTAGTGGTTGAGTTTGTAAGTCCAACTAGGAATCATCTGTGTCAAAGTCTACCCTGTGGGGTAGAAGGAGTGTATCTGGGTAGGGGGGAAGAAGCGGGATAGTAACATGGACCTAGAGGCAATGGGATGGTCTGGTCGTGAAGAGAAGGCTGCCTTCCTCTATTACTCTGGGATTGAAGTATAGGCCTCCTTTGGGGCTAGAATGGGTTTCCCTGTGGTGATTGGAGCTAGGGTAGTTGCCACTCCACCCCACTCCCCATTTAGTGTCATCGACCCACATAGGATCATCCTCTCAGAAATGGGTGAGGAGAAAGTTCTGATACCCAGCCATGAGTCACCTCTCTCCACTCCCCATCCCCCCAGACCCTAGAGCTTGACTCAGACAGTATCTCCAGGGACAAGAGTCAGGACAGACCTCCCCCTCAGTGGCAGGGAACCCCTCACTCCCATTCATTGTGTCCATCCTTGGCCAGAAAGGAGGACTGTCTGGCCAGCCAGCCAGGGAGATCCCTGTTGGCACCAGCCAAGGGGGAATGTGAGCTGAGGTTGTGGGAAGGCTGGTACAGATAGGATGGAAGTAGTCAGAGGGAAGCCCTAGAGAGACTGACCCTCCGCAGTGGAGCTGAGGGGCATTGGGGGGAGGGACTAATACTAGGGCAATCCCTGGCTCTTCCAGGAATGGATGGTGGCCTAAATGGTTGGCAAATTTAGGGAAACTGAGGAACAGAGCAGGTAATGGTCTGCCTTAGGTCCCAGAGAGAAACAGACACCACTCAATCTAGCCTCAGATATGTCCTTTCCACCCTGACTTTCTTAACAGTTCTGCAACCAGTTAGTTTCAGAATAGTTAGAGTAGGAAGTCTGGAGGGAATTAGCTGAACCCTAACCTCTCCCTGAGAGACAGGTGGGAAGGCCTCAGGCCAGGCAGCTCCCTGAGTCAGCCAATGTTGCCATCTTCCAGAATGGTAGAGTTGAGGAGACTTTCGGAATGTTTTGGGGGCCCTTGTAGTGAGTGACTCACCAAGTTCTGTCAGGAGGGGGGCTGTGGGGAACTCAGCTGAAAGTCTTTCCCCCAGGGATAGAATGACAGCAGTCCTCATTAGGGACATTGATGGAGAAGTGCTGTTATTTTTTTTTGGGGGGGGGTGTTGTTATAACAGTGATATATGCTTCCCTTCCCCCAAGAGACTGTTCTGAGAATTTAAGTAGGAAAAGGAGCACAAAGGATCAGGGAAAGAGAGGTAGTGGTAGCCGTGGCTAGTGACTGTGATAGGGTGGGGTAGGGGGGAGGGCAGCTCTGGGGGCCCTGATAGTGACAAGCTGAAATATAAATAGCCCTCTGCTCCAGGGCTCATGTTCTGTCTGCTGGCTATGACGTGATACTAAGGAATTCCACTGTCCTGGTTGCAGCTCACCTCCCTCCCCCACTCACTCAATCTCCCTCTCCACTAAGCTATTAACATCCCACCGACAAAGCCATTCCGTGGTAATTACTATTGCCCGTTACTTGAGCTTGAGAAACCAAGATGACCCATAAAGAGCTCCCCAGATCCTGGGCACACATGGATTTGTCTCCTTGGATAAAATGGATTAGGAGAGAAAGAAGTATTCTTAAAAAGAAAGGAGTATTCTTAAAACCTTTTTTAAAAAAAAGATATGGAAGATATGATCTTTGACTCCATCACATTCATGGTGTCCCATCCCATAAAACCAAAATTTGAGGGTGGGGAACTGGGAAAGAACAGACCCTGGTTCTGGATTCCTAAGCCTTAGCCACTAGGACGGCTTAGTGTAGTGGAAAGAACACTGACCTGAGTCAGAGGACCTGGGTTCAAATCATCAAATCCTGCCTCTGATACTTACTGCCTACATTACCTTGGCCAAGTCACTTAATCAACATGGGTCTCAGTTTCTTCATCTATAAGGGTTGGACTACAGGGCTTCTCAGGTCCCTTCTAGCTAAAAGTCTATGATCTTATGATCTTTGAATCTGAGGTAGAGTTGTTTAAAGCTTATATTGAGGGATTTCATACCATTAGGATTCAAGATATTTAACCATCCCTATGTTGACCCACTAGCACTAGTGAGCCAGTAGTGGTGGTTCCTGGCTCCCCTTGGGGAAAATACCAATCGATCATGGGTAACTAAGGGAGATTCCCTTTGAATCGGAGAACAGTGCCCAGGGAAGGGAATAGGGCCCACAAAGAGATGGCCTTCCCTTTACTACCTCAGCCCCAAAACGCTTAGTGTACAGGGGAGTGAATGGGGTAGAGGAGGGAACAGTGCCAGTAGATGTTTCCCGACACCCCTCCATTGCCCTCCCCCTCCCCCAGTGCAACCTGAGCCTGCTGCTCTCCAGGATAAATTGGGTCCTGACTCAGGGCCCGGCTAGTCAGCTTGACCCAGCAGGGATGGTGACTCAGCCCTCAATATAGTCCATGAGCTGTGGCCCTGGGATGGGCAGCAACATGGGGCTGGAACAGACCGTGCACAATGCTCATCTTTGTCTTGCCAAATTGCCCCCCCCATTCCTTCACCCCTCCCCACACCCCTTCCCCTGCCTCCTGGCAAAGGAGTTAGTCTCTCCTCTTCCCCTGGGCCATGTGGGGCCCCCCAGGAGGTTTGCAGGGGGGTTTCATCAGCTGAGTATTTGGGGCTACAAGCTGCTTATAACCCCCTGACTCACCACCTGCTGACCTGTCCCTATAGACCCAAGCTGCCCAATCTAGCTCCTGACCCCACTTCTCCTACAGGGTGGCCTGCCAGTCACCTACATTAATCATACTTCTTTTCCATTTGAGCTGAATTGGGGTCCCATGTACCAGGGACCCTATTTTCTAAGAACTGAGGGATACATCCCCCTATCCCCTAGAATGATGTCAGGCAAATTGGGCATATGACTGGCACCAGAGATGGTTCTTAGGGCAGGTTGGAGCTCTGGCCTTATTCCTCTCAACTCAAATATCTTAGAGATCCAACCAGGTGTATTGTGGCAAGCTGTGCTTTGCTCATACCTAGGCTCCAGCTCCAATTCTTCCCTTAAGGGGCTGACATAGCTCATCTGCCTGCCGTCTGCCTCCTTGCTTTTCTGCTTCCCCCCTGTCAATCTATGGTCCAACCTCCACTTACCTAAATCAGAACCCAAGGGCTTTTTCTTAGAGGTGAATAATTTGTGATTTCCCTCAGTTCTACCCTAACTGTGCTCCTCACCCCCCCCCATGGCAGCTAAACCCACCAGCATTGCAGGATGTCCTTTCCCTAGAGCTGTGTCGTAGCAAACTGAGTAATTTATAAGCACACCGATTACAAAGAATTTTTAAAAAAGGCTCAGGAATGCTGGGTTAGCCAAACTAAGGATTCAGATGGCTATCCAATCCCCAAGTGAGGAGGTAAGATTCCAAGATATGGCAGAGGATTTTACATTGTCTAGGGAAGATGCTCCCAAAGAACCCTGGATTCTGAAGAAAAGTGTCATCAGAGGAATCATGAAATGATTCTTCTAGTTCAAGAAAAGGGTGGTCCATTGAAGTGTGAGATGTGCCCAAACTGTGTGATCACTAGTCAGACCCTTCACCTTGTGACCAGCCTTAACCTCGGGTTCCAGCTCAGCATTTAGATAAGCTTTGCTACAGGTTCAAGTATTACCCAGGCTATGTGTATCTTCCTGGGATTTTTATTATGTATAATGTTCTCTAGCCAACTAGTGGCTAGAGTTAGGTAGGTTAATAGGGAGGTGCCCCTCTGCCCTGGAATGGAAGAGAAGTGGATGGCATCAGGTGGGTAGTGGGCAATTTTAGAGTAAGTAGAATCCAGCTGACTATGTTACCCCCAGTACAGCTCTGTCTCAAGGAGAAGGCAGATCAGGAGATGGAGGAGCACCCGCCCTAATCTGTGCAGCTATAACAACAGAGAGGGTGGAAGCTTCCAAATTGGTAATGATCTCAGCACTGCCCTCACAATTGTTGTGATGTGGCCCTCATCTAGTCCTGGTATTTATTCTACCCTGCATAATATCCTAGAAAAACCTCCTATCTCCAAATGTTCTTACTAATTCCCTTTATTTTCTCTCCTTCCACAGGGAAAAACAAAATAGACAAAATTGATGCTCCAGGCTGTATCTTGCACACAGCAATTGATCAACAAATACCTGCTGAATGAGCAGAACTGATTTTCTGGAGTATTTGGTCCCAAACAGCTAGAAAAAAATGAAGTGATTTGAGGAGAAATGGAGTCAAGACAGGGGGCTGAGGAAACAATGCATCTTGGGGTCCTGTGCTTCTGTGAGGTCGCAGACCAAAGGTGAACTGGTCTGGCTGCCATGTGAGGTGGGCTGAGCAAATAAGGAATCACAAACTCCCATGTAATTGAGCTGACATTTAGTTACAAGGAGCCCAGGTTCTTGTGGGAGGCAGAAGAAGGGTGACGGGAACTCCTGTGGGCCTTTCTGAGCTGGGTAGACCAAGCTTGCAAAGATGGGACAACCAAGAGACAGGGGTGATGGGTGGGAATGCAGTTCTGGCCCAGTCTGTCCTGCTGGGGAGGGGGGGTGATGGAAACTCTAGGTCCACCATACCAGATGGCTTAGACCTCTTTCACTCCGTGAAGCAAAACTCTGTCTCTGGCTGCTTCACATTCGGTAACATGTAGAGAGCCACCGCGGCAATGGCCAGGAACATTAAGGGCTTCCACATTCCAAACAAGTTCTGTCGGGACCAAAAACAATAATGAGTTACCAGCCTCCAGACAAATCCCTTCCTCACAATAGCTGGCCAGACAGACCCCTATTCTTCTAGCCTCTGCTAGAGCCAGAGAGGGACCTTGAGGTAACTACGGATCAGCGACTCCTACCTTCTCACTCTCCAGTGAACAAGTGGGGTCACCTAGCCTGGACACCAACACATTCCATGTCCAGATCTGCTCTGACAGATCTCCCTTCAATCACTCCCTTAGGTCACAACCCCTTCTTCAGTTTTTCCCTCTGTCGAATGGGGAAGATGACGTAAAGTGACCGTGAAGGTTTGGACAAGGAATTCCAGATGTGACAGATTCTCCCAGTTGTCATGGTGGTGGGTATAGGGAGAGGAGGGCAAGAGAGAGGGATACTTAAGAAGTTACATCTTTCACTTGTGCCCCTGGGCACAAGTGATGGGAGGAGCACTTGGCTTTTGAATTCCACCTATTTGCTAGCTGTATGACCACAGGCATGTCATGACATTTCTAAGCCTCAGTTGCCTCATCTGTAAGACTGGAATAATAACACCCTAGGGTATCTACTTCATTTGCTTTTTGTAAGAATCAAATGAGATGATGTGTGTAAGTCATTTTACAAACCTTAGAAAGCAATTTAAATGTCAACTTTTTTTTTTAAACCAGATCTGTGATTTCCCCAGGATAGAGTGCTCCTGGGGAGAAACTTCCTCTCCCCACATAGCGTGGTGGCATTGGCTGTGCTGCTTCTGACCCCAGAACTGCATGAGACACTGAGGAGTTAAGCGAATGTCCAGGATCACACAGACCAAATGAAGAAGAGGCCCACAACACCTGAACCCAGTTCATCCTGACTGTGAGGCCAGCTCACTATTATGTCATCCTGATCGTTATTAATGTTGCCATTCTTTAGGGGTCGCATGTGACTTGGAGTCATGGAATACCACAGTTTCTTAAGAATTAAAACCATGGCGGGGGGGGGGCACAGCTAGGTGGTGCAGTGGATAGAGCACTGGCCCTGAAGTCAGGAGGACCTGAGTTCAAATCCAGCCTCAGACCAAACACTTGACACTTACTAGCTGTGTGACCCTAGGCAAGTCACTTAACCCCAATTGCCTAAAAAAAAAAAAAAAAGAATTAAAACCATGGGAGGCAGCTAGGTGGCGCAATGGATAGAGCACTGGCCCTGGAGTCAGAAGGACCTGAGTTCAAATGCGGCCTCAGACACATAACACTTACTAGCTGTGTGACCCTGGGCAAGTCACTTAACCCCACTGCCTAGCCAAAAAAAAGAAAAAGAATTAAAACCACAGATCGCTTCTGCAGAAGTACCATCAGAGGCATCTGATTGAGAAGACAGGTACGCTCCTCACAGAGCCAGGCCAAGGGATACCTGGACAGCCCACATGCCCCACTAGAGCCAGTGAGCTGCATGAGGGCCCCCAGCAGGTGCAGGACTGACAGCAAAATGTGGATAAGGGGCGCAAAGGTAACAAGGGGTGGATAAGTTGCAATTTGAGTTGTTGAATTGAGTCCCCAAATTGATGAGATCCTATACCCACCAAAGCCATCAATATTATTATGACCGTAGCGATCTCTTGACTATTTGAGGAGCGGCCAAAGAGCTGCCCTACAAAGGTAATAGAAGGTGGCCGTGGGAGACAGGGCCTCAATTGCATCCTTTCCTAATACTAGCCTACATTATATCATGCTTTACAGTTGACAAAGCACTCATGTACATTACCTTATTTCATCCTTACCACAACTCTGAAGTAGATAAGACAGATATTATTATCCCTCCCTTACAGATGATGAAACTGAGTGGTTAATTGATTTGCCCCCCGATTTTCTGTTCACTTGTCCTAACACTATCTCTTCTCCGCCTCCCCCTCGCCCTGCCCCAGGGTGCTTCCATCCAGCCTCAGCCACCCGTCAGCCACAAATTCTAAACCAGTGAGTCTGAGAGGCTGCTCAATAGTTACTGCAAGTGGATGGAGGCTGAAAACCTTAGGTGTCCTCCTATCTAGGGCTTTAAAGATCAGGATCCAGGAGAAGACCCAGGAAAAAGAGAAGCTTTAGGGCAGGGTCAGCAAATTCTTGAGTTCCGAATATCACTAATGGAGTTAAGCAACGCCTTTAGCTGTCACTGGCAGACCTAAAGCAAAGACTGGGAGGAAGGCAAAAGGAGGAAAGGAAGAGTCGGGATAAGGATGGAGAAGAGAATGTTCGTGTACAGAGAAGAATGCGGCCAGCTGCTGGAGGTTCTGCTTGGGCCCTTGCCTCACCTGATTTAGTGAGACATAAAAATAAATAGAATGAGAGAGGCTTTCTTCACTATTTTATGGGGTGAAAATAGGCCAGGAGACAGACAGGTTTAAGGTGCTCAGTGAGGCCAATGAGAACTGAGTGTCTAGGAAGATACTAGCTTCTTCTGCCCATGGCTTATCCCCACACAGAGTGCGTCTTGCAGAGAGTCCCGGTTACGTGAGCCGCGTCCAGGTAAAGTACACGCCAGGGCTCTTCTCTCTAGCCAGGATCCCTGGGGAAATGTATAGCTCTGGCTGGTGGAAGTCTTTCACCAAATAATCTCCACTCAAGCAAATCTTGTCTTTGAAACCAATTACAAGAAGCCTTGCATGTAGAGGAGGTGAATGGGAAACTTGAATGTCCCCGTCTAGCATAGTTGTTTGTGTGTGTGTGTGTGTGTGTGTGTGTGTGTGTGTGTATGTGTGTGCAAAGCGTCTCTAACTGAAACATTTTTAGGAGAAAATGAAAGAGGAAGCTGTGATGCCTGCACTCCCTTGAAGGAGCTGTGAAAACTGCCAAACTATGAGTAACAAGGCGGGGTAGCAGCTTTTCAGGCCTCCGACCCAGAGTCCCCTGTCAGGGAGCTAAGAGGCCTATGCAAGCAGTGTCTCTGTGGTGGCAGTGGCTGTGCTGGGGAGATCTGCTACAGGGCTAACCACAGCCAGGGTCCAGGCCACTCTTGCAGACCCAGGCAGTGGCTTCAGAGAACTCAACAGGCACCTCTGGGTTCAACAGTAGTAGGAAAATCAGCAACTGTACTGGGCCTAAGAAAATCTTTTCCGTTGGAGGGCCACAAGCTCTCTGTTGGGAGGTACACATCCATTCCTCTTGGGATTTAAAGAAGGAGGTTCAAAGATAGACAGCATCTTTGCTGGCAGTGTAAGGAATAGCCAGGACTAGGGCCCTGGTGTTAATGCTCAATCCAAGGCATCATGCAGAAGGAAGGGGTAAGAGCGGAGCAGCCAGCAGAAGCTGAGAGGGAGGGAGGAAGGAGGAGGGAGTCATCAGGACCATCTGCACCTCCCCTGTGGCACCCAGATGCTGAGGAAGCTATACGAGTACCTGTGTTAGGATGAGGTCTCAGCCCACCAGCACCAGAGCAGAGCCGATATGACCACCAGGCCTACGCGAGGCAGGGAAGGAGGGGTGGGTCAGGGTCAGGGGGTGGCTGCAACATGTCAGGTGAGAACAGAAGCATGGGGGCATATGAAGGGGATGAGAGGAAGGCAAAAGACACGCAAAGAAATGAAGCCAACAGGTAGTGATGATGGCAGAACAGAGGGAAGAGAGGAAGGAAAGAAATCACGAGGTTAAAGAGCAGGTGAGCAGCACCTCTGCTGCGGGGGGCCTCGGCTCTCCCCACCTGCGGCTGGAAGCGGGTGCAAAGCTACAGGGGCTGAGCCACAGCCTCAGCCCCCCACCAGGGGAAGAGGCGTTGTCCTGGCCGAGCACATGTCCCTCCTGCGTTCCTCGAGCTCTTGGCACCCCCTGGACGGGCTCCCCCTCTACCCTGCCCACCACCCTCTGCCCTGCCTTCACAGGCTCCCAGTCTCCCCTTCCCTATGGCTGCAGTGTTCCAGCTCAGGTAGAACTTTAGAGTTCTCTCTTCGTGAGAAACCTGGAGCCACATGCCTGCATCAGTCAAACTCCCAGATGAAGTTCAGTCTCTGTCACAGGAGAAGGACAATGGATCATTCCTCTAAGGGATACCAGCATTTTTTCAGAAGGATTTACTGAAAAAGAGTTTTCTCTTTCACCAATCCTCCCCTCCCCTAGCCCCATTTTAAAAACTGATATCGCTAGAGGAGAAAGGAAACAGAGAGGGAGGGGGAGAAAGACAAGGACAGGGAAAGACCAAGATTCCTTGAATTGGATCAAAAATAATTCCAGTTTAGAAGGCCTGCAGTCACTCTAGAGGGGCCACAAGGTGGGGCAGTTCTGGATCCTCTTTAGAGGCTGGGTGAGGTCTGGTTTAGTCCAGTATGAAACATCTGGGATGACTGTGTTATCTGGAGAGAGCAGCCTATATGTCTACTTACCAGGTGGCATCAGAGTACAGCCTCTCCTAGGGAACAGTAATGTAGCCTAGCCCCCTGCTGCTTAAGAGCAGACTGTGGGACTTCCAACCTGTAACCCCAGTGAACAAAGAGGCCACAGGGAAGGCAGCATCCTGCCCAGGCTGGTAGGGCAATGCTTGCAGCGCACATCCCAGGAGGCCTTTCAAACCCAGCAGGGTCAGTGGCAGTTGGGGGATTGCTGCCCTGTTCTAGGGCAAGCCTGCTTTTCTTCCATGTGCCTGCCCACCTTCATCTCAGGCTTACAGACTGTTTCTTGTGCTATTTCTTCTTGCCCACATTCCCTTTATCAGGTTCCCCACTGCGTGTTGAGGTGCCCTTCCCTGGGGAGGGCAGCCTATCTCCTTTTGCCCCCCAGCCTAGGCGTCAGTTACCTTTTTGCTCTCAGAGATCTTGATGGGGGGTGCACTCCTTAGGTTCTGGCTTGGCGAGTTCATCGTCCTGCCTGATGTCCTGCAAATTAACATGCTTTATTGATTCATCCTCAAAGCAGCCTAGCTGGTCGCACAGGTCATCTGACCCCTCTTTCAGATGATCTAAGAATTCTACATGCTTTACCACAGGTATTGGTACACATTCTGGCTCCGGTTCTGGCTCTGGTTCTGGCTGTGGTTCCGGCTCCGGTTCTGGCTCTGGTTCTGGCTCCTCTGGCTCTGGTTCTGGCTCCTCTGGCTCAGGCTCAGGCTCAGGCTCAGGCTCGGGCTCGGGTTCGGGCTCGGGCTCGGGCTCGGGCTCAGGTTCGGGCTCGGGCTCGGGCTCAGGCTCAGGATCAGACCCTTCCTCCTCTGACTCGGGGTCCTCCTCCTCCAGCATCTCCTGCAGCAGCAACTCTTCCTCCTCCAGGGTCTCACACAGCTCCTCTGGCTCTCTTTCTCTTTCCGGCTCTCTTTCCAGTTCTTTTTCCAGTTCACTTGGGCTGGCCTTGTAGTACAGAACCACCTCCAGCTCTTGACTCTGTGGGGAGGGAGGGAAAGGAGGTGACCACAATGTTACCAGGGAGCTTCCTCCACATACTCTCCGGACCCTCCCAAGAAAACCTTGCTTTTTACGAGTATTGGCCCATGTGGATCCCGACGAAGCACCACATGACAGCATTCACAGTCAGCCTTCTTGGGTTATACCCATTGAAAAAAGCCAAAGCCTTCTAAACACAGCTAACTTGGATTGCCACTGTCTGACCACCCTTCTCCTTACCTGGCAGCTACAAGACATGAGGCACCCTAGTCTCCTCTTTTATGCTTCCCTTCCCAAACCCCGTTTCTCCCAGTGGAACTCCAATTTCAGCCAACCCTCTCTCGTCAGTTGGTTCAATTATTTGAAAGAAATGACCCCCATCTGCTGCCCTGCCTCTTCATGTCTCTAGATTCATTTCCTCCCGAGTAGAGACCTCAGGTTCCAGAATGTGTGGCTGGGCCCTTGGAGACAAACCATGTAGTGTAGCATCCGCAGCCCCTCCAGACAGAATCTGACAGGACTCTGACATAGCCATCTCCTGCCAATCTTTCCATGGCTGGCCCAGCAAGCTGGCATTCTTTACCTCTTTACCAGAGGTCTGTGAACTTGCTCTAAAAAACGGTATTTTGATAACTAAATTTTGCTCTCTGTGGTTAAACTTGTAATTCTGTGCATTTGATTTTGTGCTTGTAAGCACGCTGAGGTTCGGAGAAGGGGTCTGTGACTCCGCAGAGGTGCAGGCGAGTGCCTCGGGGCCCTCCTCTCAGCCCCCCGAGCCTGCTGGGCTCCCTCGTGCTCACCTGACGGCCGTTCTTGCACACGGCCATGCCGGTTTTGAGGCCTGTCTTGCCTATCACCCTGGTGACGTTCTTGGCGTTGCTCTTGCACCGGTCCACGTTGTCCTTTGGCACGGGGGCCTTCTGAGCCTTGAGCTGCCAGAGCTCCTCCTGGCAGCACTGGAGCTGACCCTCCAGCTGTTCCTGCACAGAGAGCAGCCGGCTCTGCTCGTCTATGCTGACCTGGTACTGAAGCTGCAGCTCTCGGAGCTTGTACTGGAGCTGTTTGTACTGCAGATTGGGGGGAGGGGCCAGTCAGACAAAAAGGAACTTGGAAACCCCCGGGACTGGCCCCTACCCTGACACCACCACTAGAGAACCCCTCTACGTGTGGGGCATACAAGAGAGAAAATGTTACAAGGAATAGAAAATGAGTCTCTCAATTGACCTTCAAATAGCTATTGACTCAAGGCATTCAATGATTTAGACTGAGTAATTTTTAAAAAATACTGTTTTTAATTACATAATAATAGCGAGAGGCAGCTAGGTGGTGCAGTGTTTAGAGCATGGGACTTGGAGTCAGGAAGACCTCAGCTCAAACCTGGCCTCAGACACTTCCTAGCTGTGTGACCCTGGGTGAGTCACTTCACCCTGTGTGCCTCTTTCCTCATCTCTAAAATGAGCTGGAGAAGGAAATGGCAAACCGGTCCAGTATCTCTGCCAAGAAAATCCCAGATGAGGTCATGAAGAGCTGGACACAACTGAACAATAACAACAATAGAACAGCTGGCCCTGACGTGGCACTTCGAGGTTTGCAAAGCACTTTGCATGCCCTCTCATTTGAGCCTCACAAAAACCCTGTGAAGTAGGCACTGTTACTATCATCCTTATTTCACAGGTGGGGAAACAAAGGCCAAGAGAAGTTAAGTGATTTGCCCAGGATCATACGGCTCATGGTCTGAGTCAGAATTCGAACTCAGGTCTTCTTCCTGACTCCCAGTCCAACCCTCTAAACCACTGTACCACCTGGAAATCTCTAACTTTTTTTTTTTATCTCAAGTCTCCTGAGGAGCAATTGTAATGTCTACTTCTGTCTCTGGAGACTGTATAGTCAGTTCAGCTGTGAGCCCTTGACCACTTGGGGCTGAGCTCCTAGGGTCAGCATGCAGGTCTGCAACTCTCCTGGGGCAAATACACCAGCAGGGCAATTTTCATTGCCATTGTCTGGGGAAAACGGCTGAGCTTAGCCAGGAAGGAGGCCGTGAATTTACTAAGCCTGACTTCCAAAGTTCCCACGAGATGCAGCAAGTGGAGACAGGGAGAGGAAGGAAGCAGAGAGACTTTCTCAAAGAGAAATGGCGGCACCCCTTGTTCTGCTGTGGGCCCCTCCACCTCTGGTTTGTCTTCCCCAGGATTCCTCCCTCCCTCGATTGACCTTTGCAGGGACTGATGTCAATCAGCTGGCCCTCATTTACAAACCTCAAATCCTTTTCTCGTGGGCACCTGACCACATTGTGACCGATTGCTCTAAATGGAGAGGGATAACCAAGAGCCGGCCAGCTGATGCCCACCTAGACACAGACCCATCTCCTCCCAGGCAGTCTCCCCATGCCCCTCCTCTGGGTTCAGTGACCCCAAGAATGACTGGCTGCCTTCCTGGCTGCAGGTACCTCAGGGCTGCTCTGGGGTACAACAGGTGGGGTTTCTTCCACTGTCTTGATCCCCTCGCAGCCCTTGAGCTCCTCCTGGCAGAGCTGGAGCTCCTCCTGAAGATGGCTCATCTTCACCAGTAACTGCATCATATCTAACTGCAGTTGGCCATGCTCATCCTGGCTGATCACATACATGGCCTTTACTGCCTGCAGCCTGGTGAGCACACAGGTGACCACCTCCTGGATCTATTGGAGGAGAGGGGATGCAGTGAGACTCTGGGCTAGCCTCCTCCTCCTCTGTGAGATGGCTGTTGTCGCTGTCTAGGGCAGCACGGCTGTGTGGGGAGTTTGGGGGTGGGAGGGCGGGGAGAGGGGGTGGCTGGGCCTCTCTGCCACCCTCCCTGGGGACCCCGGGCATCCCCTCTCCCCGCCCAGCCACTACCTCTGTGTTCTCATTGTCATCACAGTAATCCTCCTGTTCGCCACCACAGCTGCTGAAGCTGCTGCTGGCGCTGCTGCTGCCGCCGTAGCTCCTGTGATAGCCCCTGCTGCTGTCGAAGCTCAGCTGTGGGGTCAGGGAGTGCAGCAGCTGCAGCTCCTCCTGGCAAAGCTGCAGGTCCTCCTGCAGCCTCCTGCGCTCCTCCAGCAGCCTCCCTTGCTCCTGCTGCAGCTGCTCCTGCTCCAGGTTGCTTATCTGGTACATCTCCTGCAGCTCCTGGATCTTGCTGCACAGGTCACTTGACTGCAGTGGGGGAGGCAGATGGTGTGATTTCCTTAGGAAATGGCGGCCCGAGGCGGGGCCCCCAAAGGACACTTCACACAGGTGCAGGGCCACACTTCAGCTCTTCTGGAGCATGCACCTTGGAATCAAAGGAGGGCCTGGCTATACAGGGCACATTCCTAGAAAATGAGAACTCCTGGGGCAGCTAGGTGGCGCAGTGGATAGAGCACTGGCCCTGAAGTCAGGAGGACCTGAGTTCAAATCCGGCCTCAGACCAAACACTTGACATTTCCTAGCTGTGTGACCCTGGGCAAGTCACTTAACCCCAATTGCCCCCCCCCAAAAAAAAAAAGAAAGAAAGAAAGAAAATGAGAACTCCTTCATTTCCACCAACAGAGTAAAACCCACAGCCCTGATAGTTCCCTCTTTCTGGTAAAAGGCACCGCCCTGCCTTGCTTCTCTGCTGGCTCTCTGTCCAGGTACACACCCCACCTGCCTTCACACCTTGTGACTGCTTTGTGGTAAGAAGCCTACAAAAAGCCAATGCCTCAGAAGACACCGGCTCGGGGTCAAGGTCATTCCTGCTGATACAGTCTAAAGGGCTGCCCAGGGTGTGGATCTAGAGCCTTCTGCTTACCTAAGTTTTGTCCTGGGGTTCCTGGACTGTTCCTCAGGACTTGGTTTCTGGGTTCCATCACTTAGCTTTGCTAAGTCTGGGTTCTGCTCTGTTCACCAGACTCCAGGGTGCATGGGTCCCTGCCCTCCCTCTATCTAGGCTCCTAGCCTGAGTTTCTGGCATCTTCTGCAGGATCTCCTTGACTCTTCTCCAACCTGCCTGCTTAGACCATTGCTTCCTCTTACCTGTGAGCCCTTCAGACCCGGCCTCTTTTCTTAGAAACTACCTACATGATGATCCTCCCCAAATATGCCAAGCCCCAAAACCTGGCTTCCTCATCTGAATCTCCAGTATTCACATGCCTGCTTCTCTACTGGCTGACCTCCTGGTCATGATCTCTTGCTGACCCCTCTCAAGACCCATCATAACTCTTTGGTCTTTCTAGACACCCAGCGTTAGCTCTCCTGGCCTATCCAATGCTGCTGTTATCCCATCCAAATCCCAGCACTGATAGTATAATGTGTTCTAAGAACTCAATCCACTAGGATGTTTTCCCTAAACGGAGATGATTTCATGATTTGTTAAACAACAGTCTGATGTGGTCACCAAAATGCTATGGATTTTTTAAGAAATGGAATATACCGAAAACTGGACTGTCAGCTACTAAAAAATAGGGGGCTCTATTATCTTTGGCCAAAAGGAACTCAAATGCCAACTATCAGATTTTAAATGCTGAAATCATAGAATTGTAGAGTCAAAGCTAAAAGAATATGTAGAGATCACATGATTTAACCTGGGGACAGCTAGGTGGCGCCATCGTGCAGAGTGCCAGGCCTGGCGTGAGGAAGACTCCTCTTCCTGAGTTCAAATCTGGCCTTAGACACTTACTAGCTGTGTGACCCTGGGCAAGTCACCTAACCCTGTTTGCCTCAGTTTCCTCATCTGCAAAACAAGCTGGAGAGGGAAATGGCAAACTACTACAGCATCTTTGCCAAGAAAACCCCAAGTGGGGTCCTGATGAGTCAGACGTGACTGAAATGACTTGTTTTACAAAGAAGGAAAGAAGGTAAGAAGAATTAGGTGGCAGGGAGAGGCTGGCAGCATCAGCCACCCATCTTTCAGGTGCTGTTCTGGGTGCCCATTTGGTGCTGAGCCGGCCGTCCTAGGAGAGCACAACCTTCAGGGGGCCCTCGCCAAGCCCCAGGAGCAGCATATGAATGGCTGGGTGGTGGGTTTGGTGCTTCTGGCATCAGCCTCATGCCTCTCCTTAGGAACCACTCCAGTGACCCTGCCCAGAAGCAGCCCTGGCTGCTGTTACCTTGTTGCTCTTATCTCTAGGTAACATCTTTTCGCAGTCCGGACCCGGATTCACCATCTGGCTCTCCCTTAAAAGTCGAAACTCTTCTTGCACCTGGGCTTGCTGCTTTAATACCTGGTCCTGACTCTCCACCAGTTTTCTTTGCTCTTCCTGCCGGTTCTGGTAGCGGGTCTGTATTTCTTCCAGATCATTCAGCTTTTCCAACAACTCCTGACTCTGTGGGGTGAGGTAGAACGGTGGTTCCTGGTGCATGTCTTCACCCACTCCTTTGCCTGATCCCTCTGGGGTGCCATCACTGACTGGCCTGGCCCATGGGAGGTGATCTGCTACCCAAGATGGGTCATGGAGAGACCTCACTACAGCAGGGGGCACCCATCAGGGGCTGAGTTAAGAAAACCTGGCATTTAGTCCATTAAGCAGCTCAAACCCTGCTCTTATTAACCACTTGGGGGGCAAGGAAGAAAGAAAGAAAGCCAGCTGCCACCCTTTAAATTTCCCTCTTCCAGTACAATGAAAGCCAGGGAGTTTCTAAAGCTATGAGCCACCTCTGCTCTTTCCTGGCTTGTGGCCCACCCCCAGGCTCCCCCATATACCAGTACCTTTTGGAGCAGGTTGGGTTTAGGCACAGGGAAGGTGAGCCTGTGCAGCTCCTCCTGCAGCTGGCCCTGCTCCTCCTGCATCCTCCTCTGGTTCTCCAGGAGCTGGGCCTGCTCGAACTGCAGCTGGGACAGTTCTTTCTGGCTAGAGCTGTACAGGTCCTGTAGTTCCTTCAGTTTGGCTACCAGGTCCTCGCACTGTGGAGGAGGGGAGGTGGATGTTGTAGCCGGCCACCCTGGGGCCAAGCCCGCCGCTCTTCTGCCAGAAGAAGGCCCTGCCTCTCCCACCCTGAGCCCAGCATGGCCTCCCTCTGCCCTCAGGTCAGCTGCTAGATGTCCTCCAAGCATCGATGCCATGATTAGGGCAGGTGGTCAGCATAATCATAACAACAGCTAACACTCACATAGTGATTTCTACGTATCATCTCATGATCCTCACATCAACCCTTTGAGGTCGGTGCCAGAAAAAAAAAAAAAGGAAGTGAACAAAAAATTAGGGGTAGCTAGGTTGCACAGTAAATACAGCACTGGCCCCGGAGTCAGGAGGACCTGAGTTCAATTCTGGTCTCAGACCACACACTTGGCACTTAAGAGCTGTGGGACCCTGGGCAAGTCACTTAACCCCAATTGCCTCAAAAAAAAAAAAGAAGTGAGGTTGGTGCCACTAGAAATCCAAGTTTTACAGATGAGGAAGCTGAGGCAGACAGGAGTCCAGTGACTTGCCCAGGGTCACACAATTACTAGGTGTCTGAGGCCACATTTGGACTCAAGCCTTCTAGTGCTCCATCTGCTCTGGACAGGGCCTGGTTCTGTGTGGCTCCATCCTTCTAGGTCCATTTTCTCTGGTGCCATGTGAGAAGGAGAGACAAACCAGTCCTTCCTTTTTGTCCATTTTATTTCTCTGTCCCTTCCTCTTGGTACATGAATTCTTTACCTCTGAGAATTCTGACTTCTGAGAGATGCTAGTCTGTCCATCCTCTAAACAACCTAGTCGCCCCAACCCCGGAGCAGCACAGTGCTCCTATGGGGAGAAGGTGGAGGGCTAAGCGAGGGCTTGGGTAGGAGACAGTGGTTCCTTTGGGCAGACACAGTGAGACACAGTGGCACATTCTAAACAGGTGACCTTCTGGGGGCACTGGGGTGACTGGGTGGGTCTCCTGCCACTTGACCCTCCCCGTCAGTCAATCAGCAGTCAGTCTTTACTGAGCATCCTATCTCTTTTTCCACCATGCTTCCAGACCTGTTCATCTCTATCAGCCCTCACACAAGATGCACACAAGGTTTTAACGATGCCTGGGCACCTTAAAAATGACGAGGAAAAAGCAGATGGAATTAATACTGTTTACATCCCTGCAAAGAGGTGAGACAAGAGGCTCGATCTGAAAGGGCAAAAGAGAAGGACAGAGGAGGGCGAGAGCCAGCCCAGAGGTATCCAAAGTCTCTACAAGGGCTAGGAATAGAACCAGGACCTTAGGCCCTAGATACAGAGCCTTGGAATGGGCCTGACAAAAGCTTGGCTCCTCTCTGCTCCCCAGTGTGCACCCTGTCTGTCTACTGGGGGTAATAAAGTATGTACACAGAACATGTCTGCACATGCTTCTCCTGGATCAATAGATTATGGCTACAATAATTCCACTAATTTGCCATGAAAACCCTGGCAGCTAGGTGGCATAGTGAGTGAAGTGTAGGGTTTGGAGCTAACTCTTATCAATGCCTGTCTAAATTTCTGTCTGGTATCTGGTGGATAGAGTGATGATTTGGAGTCAGGAAGACCTTAGTTCTAATCCTGCCTCAAATACCTACTAGCCATGACCCTGCATGAGTCATTTAACCTCTGTCTGCCTCAGTTTTCTTATCTAAAAAGTGGGAATAATAATAGCAACTACCTTTCAGAGTTGTGCTTTGTAAACCCTAAAGCACTAGATACATGCTAACCATGCCTGTCTCAATTTCCGTCTGACAGCTGGTAGACAGACAGGAGTCAGGAAGACCTGAGTTCAAATCTGGCCTCTGACACTAACTATGTGATCCTGGCTAAGTCCCTTAACCTCTGCCTGCCTGAGTTTTCTCATCTTTAACAGAGGTTAATAAAAACACCTCTTCACAGGTTGTGAGGTGAGAATAAAATGAGATGGTCTATGTAAAGTGCTTGGCAAACCTTAAAATGCTACATAAAGGCGGGATTCTTATGTTTATGGTATATGTCCCAATTTTTCAAGATTTCAGACTGCGGGATGTAGGCTAGTCCCCCGAGGTGCCCCTTGGTATCACAGCTGGGGCAGTGTCAGCAGACTCACCGGTTTCTCTTCCCAGCCGTGCATCTCTGGGAGGCTCCTCACTCCGCTCCACAGGATGCCCTGGGCTTGACTGCCGACCCTTCTGTCTGTTTCCTCCCCAGTTAGCCCCTGGGAGAGCCTCCCCACCTCCTCTGTGGGCAGTTACCTTGACTGGCACGGCCTTCTCCTGGGCCTGCATGTTCTTGAGCATCTCCACATTCTGCTGGCAGATTTCGAGAGCCTCCTGCAGCTCCTCCTGTATGTGGAGCTGCCGGTCCTGCTCCTCCTGACTGGCCTGGTAGAGCTGTTCCAGTTCCTGCAGCCTGGCCTCCAGCTCCATGTTCTATGATGTAGGAGGCAGTCACTGAAGTGATCCCAGGAATAACCTGCCTTTCACCCTATTCTCACCCGCATCTTTTCTCTGGTCCTGTGATCAAAGAGAGATTCTCCTGACCTCTCCAGCTTCCTCTCTGGTTCTAGCAGGGGCTGCCAAGAGCGGACCGATTCCTAGCATACTCTATTGCACCAAGTGTGCAAGGAAGCTGCTCAGATGTAAAGTCGAGGGAAGCGTGCGGCTGAAAACAGCCCCGAATCTCCAAGACTGCCCTTCTCCTCCTTTTGTTCATTATTCCAAGGGGCTCTCACTCCCCCCACCCCCCACAGAACCCCAAAGAGAAGGCTCTCTCTTGCCACGTGCTCCCTCACCTCAGATTGCCTTTACCTTCTCAAGAACCTCTTGGCTGGCAGCCTCCACAGCTCTGAGGCGTTCCACCTCCATCCCACAAAAATCCAGTTCCTCCTGTAATTTCTCCTGTGCATCCAAGAGCTGACAGTTTTCATCCTGGCTTTTGCGGCACTGATTCTGTAATTCTTCAAGCTTGGCCTCCAGCTCCTATAGTGGAAGAGGACTTTGGGCAGTGCAGTTACCCTCAGAGGGCCTTCCCTGTTTACCTCTCTGCCTAGTTCACTCGACCGCTGACAGTCTGGAGGCCTCTCCTCCCTTACCGGTCTTGCCCTTGACTTAACTGGCTTGGTGTCTTCTCTGATGCAGATACCTAGATGAGGCTGGAGCCCTCCAGGGACTCAGGCAGTGCTGCAGGGATCCATGGAGAGGCGGTAGTTGGTGGTTAGCTGGAAGCAGCCCTAAGGATCTGGTCCTGCTCTCCCTCTAGGTAATTTCCTTCCCCCAGAATTTCTGCCAAAGACCTCCTGCTGATCCTGCCCCCTCTTTTCTATTTGCTGCCTCCCCCAACACTTAGCCAGGAGGTGCCAACCTGTTCCTTCAGCTGTCACTGCTGGTGTTACCTTCTCTTTTTTGTGGCTTTCTGCAAGCGATGCCCTCTTAATCATGAGCTTACGTTGCTCGTCCTTGCTTTCAAGAAGCTCTTTCTGCAGCTGGTTTCGTGCCTTCACGAGACTTGCCTGCTCACATTGGCTCTCCTGGTACTTCTTCTGCAGCCCACACAGTTTGTTCACCAGATCCTGGGTCTGTGGTGGGGAGGACGTGGACAAGTAGAGTTACTATGAGAGATGGCAGGGCCCTCCATAGGGTTGCTTAGATGCAGACACCTTGAGGAACTTCCATTACGTGTCTCAGTTTATTCTCTCCTCTGATGCATGCACCCAGAAGTGATCAGAGCTTCCAGAATGTAGCATTGCATGGATCCCCAAATTGGTCCCTACAGGCTATGCCTCTGGCTAAGGGTCAAAGGTTAGCAGAGTCTGTTCTGGTATCAGAACTCCCTCCTTCACCTGTCTTCCCCCAAGAAGGGGTTACCTGGCTTTTGATAAGGGCATCCTGGCAGTTTTTAAGCCGATGCATCTCATCCTTGCAGAACTTCAGCTCCCTCTTTAGGCACTTCTCCTCATCCTCACTGGCCCGATGCACCTTCTGTAACGCTAGCAGTTCAGCGTGCAGGTCCTTACACTGCAAGAGGGATGGAAGGGGGAGCTTGTGAACATTAAAAAAAAGAGCTTGGGGAAGGCGCAGTGTCCCCTTTACTAGGAAGAGCATCTGATCAAAGAAGCATGAAAGGTACAAATGGACATCCCTGTGTACCTATGTAGATAGCACACCCACCAACCTAGACTGGAAGTATCTTCACGGTAGAGCTTGGACAGTTTTTCAGCTTTGTGGCCCTGCCACCCAGGACAGTGCCTCGCACGGAGTGGGTGCTGTTTTGAAAGGCCATTGAATAGAACTGGATGGAATTCTAATGAGCTGTTTCCACACAGGCCACCGGAAAAGAAAAGGGAAGTGATGGGAAGCATCCTTCCTCCATGGTGCCCACCTTATTCTGCATCTTTTGCACCTGCTCCTCAGCAACCTGAAGCTGTTGCCGAAGGCTTTCACACTCTTCCTCTTCATCGTCTTCGTCGTCATCACAGGACATGAGATCCACAAACATATCCATTCCCGAAGTCTGAGATTCAGCCGTCGACATCTTCTTCTGTGGTTTCAACCATCCTGCCTCCTTTGTTTTTCTGTAACACACAACCCCAAAGCCGCATTGGGACAGTGTTATGCCTGGCGTTATCATCCGAGGCAGCACAGCAAGGGACCCAATTGTGATGACATTCTCAAGACAACTCAGCTAAGTGACTGGAGGCTAGATGCCTACAACGTTTCATGCACCACAATCTTTAAAGGCTGGTTTGGTTCCGGGGGTACCTAAGACTGCTGGTCTAAGATAAGCCGAGGGCTTAGCTCAGGACCAGTTCATCCCCATATCTGGAAGCCCTTAGTTGACAGACTTAAGTCACTGCAGCAAAAACAGAGATTGAGTCTGAGTTACTTTTGCATATGCCTCAGGGACAGATCAAATCAGATTTCTAGAGATATCCTGAATGGGATTCAAATCCTGCAAATGGGTCAGGGTGTTAGGGGTCCTCTATACTTGGGATGATCTGGACTACACTGGGCTGGATGCTCAGAAATATCTTCATCTCCATCTCTGTATCTACACCAGCTGGGCTACCCTGGAGCTGGCCCACCCTCTAGAAGCAGGGGAGATATTCCCCTTGTCCACTCGGTTATAATACCACCTACCATCTTTTTCTAGAAAGCCCTAGAAGGTAAGCCTAGGGCAGCTGCGCAGAGGGTTACAGAGAGGCCAGGCTACCTGCTGCTCTCCACTTGGTCCTCACTGCAGTGCTTCTGGGATTCCATCTCCTCTAGCTGTTCACACAGGCTGCTGTTACTCATCTTCAAGGCATGGTATTCCTCAGTCAAGCAGTTGCAACGGTCCCGTAACTGTTGCAATTCCTCTGTGAAGAGCAAACATAATAGAAAGAGACTGAATTCTAAGCCAAACGGTACTGAGAGCCAGCTTCGGTTTTCCTCATCTAGAAAATACTAATAGATGCCTGGGTCATAAGGAAGACAGAAAGTCAGAGCTCAGGGTTCCTTGGAAGACAAGACCCTGGGAAGACAGTGTTGCTACAGCTCCCTCGTCATTCCTCAGAAGCCACCATACTGACTAGCTCTTGAGATCCTAGGAGATTCAAGAGGGTTAATACAATGCCAGCTGATTCTTTCAAAGGTTTCTTCCAACATCTTCTTATCCTAAGGCTATGCTGAAAACAGATCTCCCTTTCCTTTTGATCTCTGATGCTCTTCCAAGCTCTCTGGGATAACAAACGGGATTCCTTTCCCCTTCTCATTAAGGAATAGGGTAAAGAGAAATTGTAGAGGGGACAAAGATTGAGTCAGAGCTGAGCTGCTGTCCTTTGCCCTCCCCACCGTCCTGTATCTACCTGTACGTAAACAGGACCGGTCTAGACATCATCCTTTACCCTGATTGGGATTCCCTCTATGGTTCTTCATTTGTTGGTGCCCTAGGGAACCCTTGAGCATTAAAAAGCGGCCCTAAGTGAAATAAGACTTCAGAAACCTTTGAAAGAATCTGCTAACCTTTGATTAGCCTTCTACAAGCTTACAGAATCTCAAGAACTAGCCAACGTGTTGGCTTCTGAAGATGCATTAGAATACGTCTGCCTGTTTACTACTGCTGTTTACTATTACCACAGACATACAACTATGCCCATTACATTTCTAGATGATTAAGAATTTTGTCAGAGTATAATATGGCTTGTAGGATTAGATTACAAGATTGCTCTTTGCTTGTATTTATCAAATGCTGCCTTGACCTAACCTCATAATGTGCTGATGCTCCCTTCTTTATCATGGGTCAGAATCGTTTGGTAACATTTTGGACTACTAAAATAATTCCTCAGTCTAGAGATGGTCAGGGCTTTTCACTGCTGTGAAGGTTTGCTCATGTCTGTTTTAGCTCACATTGCAAGCAGGGTAGACTACGGCGCTTTCCTGAGGTCCTGATAAGAAATCTGTGCTCAGGACAAAGGCAGCTTTCTTATGCTCTAGGTCCCAGCAGACAGTTGGAGACAGCACACGAGCTGAGACTTATTGAATTTTGGGGGGAAAAAACCCTGAGTTTGGGATATCCCTGAAGTTACTAGGGTAACCCTTTTCCCTCCCATCTAATTTAAGATGTACTTGAAGCCTCTCTTTACTTTGGTGAAAGCTGTTGAGGCCCAAGAGGTGAAGCATTAGACTGAATGTCAGGATTAGGTTTAGAGACAGACCCTCTACAAGGTTGCCGGGCAAATAGCCACGGTACCCCCAGGGAACAATTTCACAGCAAGGCAGCTTAAGCTCTATGCCACAGCCCAAACAGGTCACTGCCCAAGAGCTTTCAAGCAGAGTTAAACCCTGGCTGGTACCTCTGCACTGCACTCCTCATTGCTGACTGTCTGACTGTAGGGTAAGATTTCTCCTATAGTCTTGAATTTGACCTTAAGGTTCTGTCACGGTGTTCACGTTGCACAGTCTCATACTCCTTTCTACCACTGTTCTTAGGGGCAGCTAGGTGGTGCAATGGGTTGAGCACTGGGTCTGGAGTCAGGAAGAGCTAAGTTCAAACCTGGCCTTAGACACTTACTAGCTGTGTGACCTTGGGCAAGTCACTTAACCTGTATCTGTCTCAGTGCCTCATTTGTAAAATGAGGACACACCAGAGACTGAAATAACCAACCACACCAGCATCTTTGCCAAGACAACCTCACAGACACGGTTCATGGGGTCACGTAGAGTCAGACACGACTCAGCCACCAGACAACTACCGTTCTTCACATCCTCTACCCTGGTAGGTCTGGTTGACATTTTTTGAATTGAGAGAACCTTGGATTGCCCATATTTCTAATCCTAATTGCCACTGTCATTTGTATTTTGTCCAAAGATAACCACCCCTAGAAGCCTAAAATCAGTGGTCTGTGTTCAGAAAACTTTCACCAGCAGTCCCAGACATTCCCCAACAGTCTTGCACCTAGCCGTAAAGAGAGCCCCCCCAGCCCCCACCCCGGGGGCCTTGCTCTGCTTATCTCTTCCCCGCCTCCCTGGCCCAGGGTACCAAAGAATCACAGTGTACCTTGCATCAGGCTAACATCCGAGAGGACCAGCTTCTCAGACTGATCGGAGTCCTTCAGCTGCATCTCACTCCGCAAAGACTTGATCTCCATCTCATACTCTTCGCGGATGCGCTCCATGCTGCTGAGCTCCGAGCGCAGGCGGCACAAGTCCTCCTGCAGGGTGGCGATGTCGCCCTCGTGCTCCACCGCTGTGTCCTCTGCAGCCTGCCGCAGACTCTGGATCTCGTCCTGGGCCATCTGCAGCTCCTGCTCTATGTCCTTCAGTTCAGTCTTCTTCTCTTGTTCCAGAATGGAGATCTCCTTCCTGAGGGACCTTACCTCACCTAGGAGAGACGCAAGTTGGGGGGCTGTCAGAGGACTGGCACACCCATCTGCTGGGTCCCCTGAGAAGGACTAACTTGTTTCCCTTCTGTCTACTCTAGAGACCCCAAGCTCGGCCCCGCTGGAGAGAAACAGCTGTACCCAGAGTAGGAGAAGGAAAGTATTTAAGAAACTAAAAGTGAGAAGTAGAATGGGGGCCCTGCTCCATTGCGCAGGCCAGGGGGGCTTGGATTGGGAATGAAGGATGGTTAAAGAGCATAGCCAAGCCTTTCTTATTTACGGCCACCTCATTTTTTCCCCTGCTCTTCCTACGTCCTTCCCAGCGACGCAGGCCCCTCAGTAGTCAGTTTGGGTGTTCACAACTGGTGACTGCCACTGTGTACATGCTGTCGTGACTCAGTGGGAATTTAGGAGCCTAAACCTATCCAAAGAAGCATCAGGATTCAAAAGAATGTGTATCTGTGCAGTAGCCAGACTGGCTGGCTGTGTTTGGGGCTCAGGGGCCAGATGCAGCCCATCTGCGCCCAAGGTGGCTTCCACCTGAGATCTTTTTACCTCCCGGTTGTATTTAACCTAATTAGCTAGCACATAAAAACTAGGTAGCCAATACCAGCTCCCTTTGGGCTTCTGTTGTGTGACTGGCTGGCACCAGGGGTCATGCTAGCAGGCTTGGACTGGCTGGATGCAATTACACATTAGGTTAATGTGACCTGCATGCACATAATAGATTTTTGAACATATGGTATACTACTGAAAAACTTGGGCGCCTCTGATCTAAGGACTTGTATATATATGGTCATACGTAGCTGTCTATCTTGGAACAAAAGAAATCTATTGTTGGGAAAATAAGGAAAGTAAGAGGCACTAGCTGGGACAAAGAACCCAGAAGGTGGGGAACAGAACTATAGGAGCAACATGGGTAAAGCTGGGTGGCTGGGAGCCATTCCTCTGACAAGTGTTTACTACTCTGGGCACAGAATGAGCTCCTGAGAGAGAACAAAAGAAGAAGCAGACAGTCCCTGCCTGCAGGGAGCTTCAGAGCTGAAGCTAGGACTAGGCAACTAGGGCTTTGCCAGTGGGCCCAAATTTAGAGAAAAACAGTTCTTGTTTCCCTTCCGCAGTAAGTCTAGGGACAGGGACTGGACTTGGGATTTCAGTAGTATAGGAAACTCCCAGAAGAGGAACTGTCCTCTCTCAATTCAGGCCAGCACCTTCTCTACAACTTGGCCAGTTGTTTGTCAAGGGCACAGGGAGGTTAAATAACTTGCCCAGGGTCCCACAGCCAATGTGTGTTAAAGGAAGGACTTCCTGACCACGAGGCCAGTCCTCTATCTACTACTACCAAGAATAATTCATTAAAATAGGAGGCTACAGGATGGTCCAAGTCCTCCCCAGCTGCCCTCTCCAACAGCCCCAGGTAGGTGAGCTCCTCCCCAGCCTGGTCCCGCCCTGCTCCCTGCTCCATGTACCACCACTGGTCTCCTTGGGGCAGGCTTCAGTAGAAGGAGACTGAGCTGCCCTGACCTCTGTCTCCCCACCACCAAACAGGATCCCTAAGTCTAAGGTTCCCCTCCACATTCCCTCCCCCCAGAAATTTTTTCTGTAAAAGTGAATTGGAGGGACCTTTCCTGGTGCTCGACCCAGGCATGTTTTCGATGCTTGCCTCTGTTCTAGAATTCAGTGCTAGAATGGATAGTATTGGCTCTGAGGAGCTTATGGTCTAGTTTGGAATACAAAACACATACAAGTGAGATAACTAGAGCACAGTCACAAAGCAGCAATATGCATAAACATATGAGTACAGTAAGTACAGTCATTCCTTCAGGGATGGGCTAGAGGGGAGTGATCACAACAGAGTAGGGTCATCCAAGGAAGGCTCCTTAGAGGAAGTGGATTAAGAATTGAGTCCTGAATGGAGTAAGGAAAACAGACTGGCACTTATTTTGGGCCTCAGTTTCCTTATCTGCAAAATGAGAGGTCTGACCTAGATGACCTTGAAGGTCCCTTCCAGCTCTAAATCCTAAGGTAGAAAATGACATGATAACATGCAGGGAGCCACAAGACCGTTGTGACTGACAGGGCCACGTTGAATGAGATGAACTTGGAAAGGTGGTAGCACCACTTGATAGAGTTGATGGAGTTTCTCCAATGCATAGCTGAAAAAGAGGGCCTAGAAAGTACTTCGGTTAGCGAAAAGCCACTTCACATAATCACAGAATTTCAGAGCTGAAAAAGACCTGTGACTGTCTACTCCAACCCACACACATCTCCCCATGGAGACACCACCACCAAGTCTGGATAGAAGACCTTCAAAGGGGACCCCACCACCTCCCAAAACGACCACTTCCACTTTTAGACAACTCTAATTGGTAGAAGTTCTTCTGGATATCAAGCCCAAATTTGTTTCTTGGTAATGTGTCCCCATTGCTCCTTGTTCTTCCCTTTGGGGCCAAGTCTAACCATTCGGATTCCGCTGTTATATGACAGACAGCTTTAGGGACTATTATCTCTTTTCCCTTCCCTCCCCCTCCCCCACCAAACTTTTCCTCTCCAGGTTAAACATCTCCAGTTCTTTCAGCCTATCCTCATATGACATGGACTCAAGGCTTTTTTGCCATCCTGGCTGCCCCACTCTGGGTGCTCTCCAGATTATCAGTGTTCTTAAACAGTGACATCTAGGATGCATAACGATATTTGGGACATTTCTTCTTAAATTCTCTTCCTTGGGGTTCAGAAAAGCAGCCCCAAACTTTATCCTTTCTCTGTCCTTACTCTTCCAAAATGATTCTAGTTACCTCCTTCCACCCTGTTTGGGGCCTTGTATTAGAGCTTTGCTCCGTCCCTCCCTTCTACACCCACAATTTCTCTGGAATCCTTGGAGCTAGAAGGGACAATAGAGGTCATTTCCCACACACCACATACATTTAGGTCCAGAAGGGACCCTGAAGGCCACAGGGTCCTCATTTTAGAAATGGAGAAACAGAGTCTTGCTCTATGAGGCAGGATTTGAATACAGGTCTTCCCGACTCCAAGGCTAATGCTCACGCACTCTAACCTCATTAACAGAGGAAGCTGAGGACCAGAGGAGGCCACGTGAGTCTGCCAAGGTCACCACGCCAGCGAGTTGGGAGGACACAGTTTGAAATCCAAGCTTCCCAATCCAGGACCTCATGCTCTCTGACTCCATCCGCATCGGGTGCCCTTTGCCCTACCCCATACCAGGGCCACATCACAAACACTAGCCAGATTCCTCTAGGCTGTGGCCTGCCCGCTCCCCACTGGAGAATGGAAGAGCTTCATTCACCTTATTTCATACCTATCTTGTATCTACTGATAGGTGGACATGCTGTGAGCCCCTCCCTTCTCTCCTGTAGATTGGAAGCTCCAGGAGAGTAGGGCCTGCCTGTTCCTTTTTTTTTTTCTTTTGGTCTTTCTATGCCCAGCAACATCAGCTGTCTGACCACGTGGCAGCTTTAATGCTTGTTGATTGACTGACTGATGGATGGATGGGGATGTAAAAGGGAGCTGGCCTACGTGGTGTCTAAGGTCCCGGAGGGTGTCTAAGGTGATGGTCCCCTCCGTCTGCAATTCCTACGGCCTTCTAACACCGGCCAGGACATTCTCCACCTTCGAGTTGGAGGCCGCGTGGGGGGCGAGCCGGGCAGGGCCAGGGCGCTGGAGCTGGGCTCAGGCAGAGTGGGCAGGCGTGGGGGCGTGGCCTGGGTTTGGGGCGGGGCTTGGGCGCTGGGGGGGTGAGACTTGTGTGGGAGTTGAGGGGGGCGGGGCTTCTCCGGGAGTTGGCAGGAGTAGGGCGGGGCCTTAAAAGGGGCAGGATGGGATGAGGCGGGTCTCCAAGATGGTCTGTGCTGATTGGCGGTAAGGCGGGGAGTTTCTGCGCCGGGTGGGGGCTTTGGGTCTGGGTCCGGGCGGAGAGTCGGTTCTCACTCACTGGTCAGGGACTCCATCGCATCAGCCCGTCTAGTGGTCTCCTTGGGGGGAAGCCCCCCCCACCCACCTCGCGCGCGCGCGTGGCCCATAGCGGGACTAAGGCAGCCGCTTCCGGCCGGCCAAGGGTCCGGCCTACCCCCAAGGAGCGCGCGCCCCCTGCGGGCGGAAACGGGCAGTGCACGGGCGCCCAGCTGGAAAGAGCTAGGAGGGGGAGGAGGGAGAGAGACAAGAGAGGGAAGAACGCTCTGCCGCCCCCTGCAGGAAGGTGGGTGATGGTGTGTGACCTGGCAGCCTTGCGCCGCACGTACGTGTGTGTGTGTGTGTGTGTGTGTGTGTGTGCGCGCGTATGCATGAGTTGGTGTCAACGCGCGTGTTTAGGTCATAAAGTGTGTAGACTCTATCTAAGCCAGGAGGACTATAGAACTGGGAAGAATCATGGAATTATATGAGCTTAGAGCTGGAAGGCATCTTAGAGGTCATCTAGTCTAACTCACTCTCTTCCCCTCCCTTTTTTTTTTTTTAACAGATGAGGAAACTGAGGTCCAGGAGAAATTAAACGATTTGCCCAAGGGAGTAAGTGGCATCCCTATAATCCTTTCATTGTGACTAGCATGCAGCCTGACTATATTACAGGTAATAAGTAGCAGTCAAGTGAAGAAGCATTTATTAAGTGCCAATTGTGTGCCATGTACATGGGCACTCTGGCAGAGATGGGGGTTTCAGGCCTAGATTTCCTGCCTCCGAAGACTCATTATCTTATTTGATCCCCTCATAGCCCTTGGAGTTTGACATAGCTGATATCATTCTTATTTTACAAATAAGGAAACTAAGAGCCTTGGAGATAATTGAGTGGGCTTGCTCAAGGTCACAGAACTGGTAAGTGTCAGAGCTGAGACAGAAATCCTGCTCTTTTGACTGCAGGGCCAATTCTTTCCTCTACAGCTTGCACAGCTTCAAACTCTGTGTGTGTGTTTGTGTGGACTCCTGAGATATTTTTATACTTAGACCCAAGGGGCCAGTGGATATGTCGTTGTGGCGTGTGCATGGGTCTGTAGGGGCACTGGATCCCTGCCTGAATCCAGCAATGCTATGGGGTCACCCATAGTCAGCAGCTATAAATATACTCAGAGTTCTGGCCCTGGGCCCCAGTGCCTGGGAGCAAAAGAACTGACTGAATAGATCTTATGGAAACCACATGTATGTGGCTCCTGCCTGAGATCATAGGATTATGGGACTTAAAGTCAGAAGAGACTGCAGAGGTACGATTCAGTGAACATTTTTGAGGAGCCTAGCATGTGCAAGGTGCGGTATACAAAGTTATTGATGTGGCAAGAATAGCTAGTACAGTCCCCAGAGATAAGAAATGTGAGGTGAAGGGAAACTAATCAGTATGAGTCTAAGCTCATACTGGGAGTAAGCAGCAGAGTCAGAATTTTAACCCAGGGCCACTGACTTGAAATCTAGGGCTCTGGCCACTATACCATGATTGCCTCACTTTTTTCCGACCTCACTTCCTTCTATCATTTCCCTTCCACTTTTCTTTGTTCCTTCCTTTGCCCTAGCTGGCTGCTTTCTATTCCTGCTCTCTCTTTGTTCATTTCCTCCTCCTTTTGTCCCACACTGGACTGCTTCCCTGGGGACTGTCTGCTCTGAAGCTGTTTTCTAGGACATCTCCCAGAAACTGGAAGCTAGAAGGAGTCAACTGAAGCTGCCTTGATGTTGCTGTGGGATATGGAACACCTACCCTGCTGCTCCTGAGAGAGAGTTGCACATGGGAGCTGAAGGGAAGGGATTTCTAGGTCATCTGTAGGGCTCCTGGTAGCTATAGAGAGCCCCTCCTTGAATACAAGCCCTTATGACACGGCTTTGTAGCCTGTGGGTATTATTGATTCTGGTTAACTCACTTGCCCTATCCCAGATTCTTTCTGAAGAGAAGAGAGGGGACAAAGAATATGACCAGCCAAGATGGCTGCAGCACTCCCCAGTGCTTGAAGGGAAATGGGAGCTAGAATGACCCTACCCCTACTCCTAAGTCACCCATCCCAGCGTCCAACCAGTTCACCCACCCCTGGTGCTGACCTGGACGTCGAAGGAGAATGGATGAGCAAGAGAAAAGGAAGAGATTAGAGGCAAAAAGGAAGGGAAGAAAAGAAGCAGAAGAGTAAAAAGAGGAGTTTCAATAGAAGATGAGTGAGTAAAGACAGAAAGCCAGGGGAAAAGATCTAAGAATGGGGTAGGGATCGTGGTGTTGTTTTGAAAAGTGGAAGATGAAATCTAAAGAGACCATGGAAATGAGAGGATAGTAAAGAAGAGGTAAAAAGATCATTTTGGATGACTAAAAAAGTGGTAAGAGAGATGGCATGAGAAAAATCCCTTGACAAAAGGTAAAATGAAGCCGACCCCACCTTCCCCTCTCCCTTGCTTCCCACATCAGACTCTAGCATTACCCTGGAGTTTCTGGATCTGCTTGGTGAAGGTCTCTGCCTGCTGGGCGCTGGCCAATCGCTCATCCTCCAGGAGCCCTGAAACAGCACAGGAGTGGCCTGAGGGAGGTCCCAAGTCCTGAGAGCTTTCCGGTTTTTGTCAAACCTTCCATCCCTTGCTGCCAGGTTCCCCCTACTGAGGTGTCAAGAGCTTCACCAGATGTGGAGAAGGCCAGACTTCAGGACTTTGAGGGGCGAGAGCTTGGGACCCTAGATTCCACTCACCTTGTAGCTCAAGGGAATCATCCTCATGCTGTCCGGCCAGCTCCCTTGTCTCTTCCAGCTCAGCCACTAATTGCAGCACCTGGGCCCTCAGCTCTTCCAGCTCTGTCTCAGTGAGGCTCAGCCCCCGAGGCTTGTCTTCCTGCAGGGACTTCGAATCGTTGTCCTGCTCCTTGTTCTCTTTCTCTTCCTCTTTCTCCCCCTCTTCCTCTTCCTCTTCTTCTTCCTCCTCCTCCTCATACAAAGCTGGGAGCAATACTTCCCCTGTAAGACACCCCCCAGCACACACACACACACACACACACACACACACACACACACAACACACACAGGATCACCTTTTTTCAGCTGAGGTCTGTCAAACTTGCAACTGGTTACACCAGCCGAGGTGACCAGGGAGAGATGATGCATTGGTGCTGTCTTCAGGTCCCCCATGATACCCCCCCCTAAATCAATGCCTGTAGAATTGAGGCTCAAGGTATTCTCATCTGTCTCCTTGACCCTTCCTGGAGTTGGCTGACCAGTTTCATTTGGGTGGGTCCTCTCACAATGACAGACTTTTTTGGGGAGGGGTGCTTCAAGGCATGAGACAGAATAATGAAGGAAAGCTCGCTCATGGACACTTGGCTTCGTCTAGTTCTGACTCCTGGAACTTGGGGCAAGTGAATAGAGAATCAGAGAGCTGGGAAGAAATTAGAGGTTATTGACTCCAAGCCCTCATCCAGGTCAAGAATCAACTCCCAGGGCATCTGCTTGACCACTGGGCTAGGGAAATTCAGACTTTGTGTGGGAGCCTTCGAAACCAGCTGGGGTGAAAGAGGCATCCCTCAGGCTCCAGACAGGCAAATGTGGGGTTGCTACCTACATGATAATATGTTCCTTAAGCAGCGTATGGGGAGGGCTGTGTGGATAGCAGAACAGCAGAATGCCGGTCGAATGGTAGCCCCAGCAGACTGCAGCCCTCCTACTGAGATTGTGCCTCTTCCACCTGGAGGGAGGGCCCTTCCCTGTGATACCTTCCATCTAACCTTGAAGGTCTAGCTGTGGGGAGAGTGGAGCCTTGCTTGAAAGGCAGACCACAATTTTGGGGGTGGGGGTAGGTAACATTGTGGGGATGAAGTGAGGACCAGTGCCTCAGATGAAAAAGCTCATCAGGAAATCTTTTGCTGTGGTGTGTTTTCGTTTTAGCAGAGCCAACCCCACAAGAGAGACCCTAATTAAGCTACATCTGTTCAGGAAGCAGTGAGGAGAAGTCTTGAAGTATTCCCCACCCCCCATTCCCAAAGCCTTAGGGTGACAATTGGGCCTTAGTTTGAGGTGAGAAGGGTTCTGGGAAAAGCTCGGGGAAATGATGGGCTCAAGGCTGGGAGCCCCAGGGGGAGAGAGAGAAGAAAGGAGTTGAATAGTAGGAAGGGAGAAAGAAAAGAAAAGCATTCTAGGGTAAGAAAACTCACCATCCATGGTCTGACCCCAGCGCTCCAGGGACCCCCAGCATTGGCCTTTCTTTCTCTCACAGCCCTCAGGTCCCTCACAGGACCCTGCAGGGGTCACTGGAAATCCTGTGGAAAGAGAAGTGTGAGAGGCATAGGAAAGGCTGGGGAATATACCCACCCTAAGCTTCTGAAGTCATGGAATTCTAATGTCAATGCAAGCATCTCCCCATTCCTAGCTCTGATGACACCCCACCCCTCCAGCTATGGCACCTCTGCTGGTCTCAGATGCTCTACCTTCCACCCCACCCCCAGCTCTTCTGCTGAACCTGGCCCTACCATCCTCCCCATTCTGGTTCAGGTCTCCACCTCTGATGCTGCTTTTTGCCCTACTCCACCCCTACTACCATCCCTGCACCTGACTCTGCCTCTGAATTCCCACCCCCCATCCTAATACAAGTCCTCATCTCTGCTACTGCTGCTAATCCTGACTCTGATTCCCCCACCAACACGGGCCCCCACCTCTGTGGCTTCCATCTGTCCTCACCCTACCCGAGGTCTACTTCTGACCCTGGCTGTGACCCCCTCATCTTACTATAGGTCCCCACTTCTGTTGTTTCTCTCTGCCCTGTGCTCCACACCCAGCTCTGCTGCTAGCTTGCAATCTGTGGCAACTCTGCCCCCCACTCTAACACAGGTTCCCACATCCGCGCTTCTGCCTACCCCACCCCACCCCCAGCTCGGCTGCTGACCCTGAATGGGAATCCCCTCTACAACACATCTCTGCTCCTCTACCCCACTCTTCACCCCTAGCTTTGCTTCTGACCCTGACTCTGTGAACGCCCCTCCCCAACACAGGTCTCCACATCTGCTTCTATTTGCCCCACCCCCAGTTCTGCAACTGACCCTGGCTCTGTTAATCTCTCCCCCAGCCTACCACGAGTCCCCATATCTTCTCTCTGTCCTTCCTCCGCACCCAGCTTGGCTGCTGACCCTGACCCTGAGAATCACCCCCTCCCCTTCCCCTTCCAGTTTTAGCTTACATTCCCACATCTGCTGCTTTTTGTCTCCTATATTTCCAGTTCTATTGTTGGCTTTGACTGGAGAGTCAAAACTGACCAGGTCTGCTAAACCCAGCTCTGTTGCTCTGTCTTTCTCTCTCTGTCTCTTCTCTCCATACGTAAGTGCAGAGAATGTATATTTAGGAAAGAGAGAGGAAGATGAGAGAGGGAGTAGAAGGTAGGGGAGATGGAGCGAATGGAAAAGAGGAAGTGAAGAGAAAAAGCTTGGGAGTTAGGGAAGGGGCAGTGGGAAAAGGGGTTCTGTTATTTGAACTGGGAGTAAAATGTCCTCACCATACTACCTAATTTTCTATCCACCCCCCCCATTATCCACTCTTCACTGTGCTTAGGGTATAAGGGGGCTGAGAGTCTGTGTGCACCCACAGAAGCCCTGGGGACAGAGCCGGGGAGGTAAGGGAGGTGAAGCCGCTTTCCCAAGGGGCGGGTGGGACAGGGATGACAAAAGAGCCTCTCAAGGGAGGATGCAGCAGTGAGTCTGGACGTGCCGGGAGAGGTGAGGACAGGGACGGGAAGATGGAGATCTCGGCCTGGGGAGGGAGAGAGAGAGGGAGGCAGAACTGCGGACCGAGAGGAAGCATTGAAGGGAGGGGACAGACTTAGGAGAGGAAGGACAGCTGGAGAGGAGGAAGGGAGGAGAAATGGAGAAGGGAAAGGAGAGCAGAGGATTTGAGAAGCCAGGTGAACACCAGCCCTGACCTGAGCACTGACTGTTCCAGCTCATGGCTCCTGGTCCATCCCCAGCTTCTGTGTCCATGGCCGCAGCCGCTGCCCGTGCTGCTAAGGGATGAAGCCGCAGAGCCTTGGGGAGCAAGGGCGGGAGGAGAAGAGGAGGAGCTGCTGGGAAGGCGTGCAGAAGGCGGGGACCTAGCCCAACCCCACGAGCTCCCCTCTTCTCTCCATAATTTCCCCCCTCCCCAACCTACCTGACGCAACCACTGGTGGGGGGGGGGTTGCGGGGTGGGAGCCATAGCCTCTCTCTTTTCCCAGTGTCCCACAGAGCGCTCCCCAGTCCCCCACCCTACACCTGGCTGTTCATTCTGTGCTGCCTGCCTGGCCAGCTCCTAGGAAGGGGCTCAAACAAATTCTTGGCTCAGGTGGGAGCAGGGAGCACTTTAACCCTTCCCCCCTTGGCCCCAAGAAGGAGGGGCAGTACAGGTCCACTGGTCAGCAAGCTGAGAGCTTGGTTGGACTGCTAGGTTCAGGAAGTAGCTGCTTCTGTGGGAGCTCTGCTTAGGAGAGGGTTCAACACTCCCCCCAGCCCTCACAAGGCAGTGAGAAGTAAGTAGGTAGGGGGTCTGGCCAGAGGAACTCCAGGGCCTGGGAGGTGCATCTCACTGGCTTTGCTGCTGAGGTAAGTTGGAGCACCCCTCTAGTATGATGTTTCCCACCATGGAATAATCTCCCCTGTATTATCTTAAGCAGAACACATTTCTCCCAAGTCCTGAGACCCTTGGCCAGCCAGCTCACAGCTCTGGGCTTGTCCTGTCCCTGAGATACATCCAGGGCTGGAGAGGGGAAGATCTTTCCAGTACAGCTCTCAGTAGTGCTCGTGAGCCTGACCAAATGGGGAACCAAAGGTGATGTGGAGGCCGGAGGAAAGAGATGCATGGAAGTCACAGGGGGACTCAGGGCAGGTATTTCTGGTCCTCTCTCTTTCCTGGATTCCCCTCTTCCCTGCCTCTGCAGTCAGGGGTGGGTCATTAGACTTTATCATATCCATTGGCCCTACACTGCCCTTTGTTAAATGGGATTTAGTTTCCTTATTTATAAACCCTAAATTGTTCTTTCCTTAATACAATTGAATTCCACGAGCAATTATTAAGTACCTTTACTCATAACAGCAACTTTGTTAAGTGCTGGGAATATAGACCAAAGGAAGCAGCAGTCCCTGCCCTCAAGGACCTTATGGTCTAGGAGAAGGAAACAATATGTATTTGAAAGTAAGTATGAAATATAAGACAGCAAGGTGGCCCAGTGGATGGAGTTCTGGGTCTGGAGTCAGGAAGACTCATTTTCCGGAATTGAAATCTGGCCTCAGACACTAGCTGTGTGACCCTGGGCAAGTCACTTAACCCCTGTTGGCCTCAGTTTCCTCATCTGTAAAATGAGCTAGAGAAGGAATGGCAAACCACTCCAGTATCTTTGCCAAGAAAAGGCCAAACAGGTTCACAGAGTCAGGCATGACTGAAATGACTAAACAACAACAAATATGAAATATATTCAAAGTAATTTCTGGAGGGGAGGGCATAGGTCTGAGTCTGCAAGGCACTTTTGTTAGCATTAGAACAGGCTTCAGAGGGCACAGTGGAAGAATAGAAAGAGGAGCCCCGGAGCAATGCAGGGACAGTGTTGGTAGGAGGGACAGGGAGTGGTAGGAGGAGCTTTGGCCTCAGCAGGCTGCAAGTCAGAGTCGCAGGTGTTCTGAATGGACGCGTCAGGAGTACAGTAAAGGTAATGTTGATTTGCTTATCAGTTCCAGAGAAGGAGGTAGCAAGCTGGCCCAAGCTGGTGGATATGCACTCAGCAATAGGGCAGGGGGCCAGGTCTTAATCCTTTCTAATGGCCAAAGCAGAGATTGGGGAGTCCAGGCTGGTTATAGAACCGGGGAAGGCACCTCTGAAGTACTTGGCCTTCAGCCAGGTCAGCTCTATGTAGATATGGTGGCTATATAATTGTCATTGTATATTTTAAGGATCAAATGGGATACTTGTAAAGCGCTTAACACAGTACCTGGTACGTAGCCGAGACTCTAACCCTAACCTTAAATGACCATTTGGTCATTTCCCATGGTGGGAAACATCATACTAGAGGGGTGCTCCAACTTACCTCAGCAGCAAAGCCAGTGAGATGCACCTCCCAGGCCCTGGAGTTCCTCTGGCCAGACCCCCTACCTACTTACTTCTCATTGTATATGGAGTCCACTTGGTCCCAGCTTCATGCTCATTTATCCTTCCACTCTCTTCTACTGCTTTTTCACTGTACCACACACAGGCATGTATACGTGCCATACCTGTGTTACTGAATGTTTTCACATACCTTATTTCTTTCTCTGAACAACCTTGTCAAGGAGGCAGGGTAAATGACATTACTCATTTTACAAATAATGAGGCTCAAATGGGTCGAGAAGGGTCACCCAGCTAGTTAAATGCAGACTCCAGTTGAAAGACAAGCCCAGAGTACTCGCCACTCTGCCACAGTGCTTCTCAATTTACTGAGTATCAATAATGTTCCAAATACTGATGGCCTCCAGGACTCCACTCTAGGTTCACTTGTGGAAGGAATCGTTAACACAACCAGAAAATGGTGGCAGTACAGAAACTGACTTATGAATATAATGATGTACTCAAAGTCTTTTGTATCTTTACTCACAGAGACACCTGGGAAATGGAATTTCCTGTGGGCTCTTCCAGGTTCCCAGACTTGTGAATCCCATACTTGCATGTGTGTATGGAGTCCAGAGCCATAGCTAGGGGGAGATGCCTGGAGTTAGGATAATCTAGAGAGCGCTGTTGGTACTAGAGACTTTTCCTCTGCTTTGATGGCCTGATTCTACAGAGCTTCTCCCTCTGCCTGCCCCACCTCAGGGGCTCTTCGTCCCTCTTCAGCAGCTTGGAAACCTGGGAGCATGCCCTGGATCATTTCCTTTTGTGGGAGCCACACTCCCCAGGACCTTCTTCCTTGCTACCTCTCTTCCTGCTGACCCCCAGCCCACTGCTGCTCAAGGTTCAGAAATATGGCTCTGACGCAATGTTTGCTATAGAGACACAGCTTCATATGACTTCATGTACATATAAACAATCCCAGTCCTTCAGTTTTGTACATTTCATGCACTTAAACACACAACCTCTGCTAAATACGCACAGCTATTGTTTGTTGCTAAGGTTAAAGAGGCTTTGTTGAAAGAATTGGAAAAGCCAGTCCATGCTGAAAGCCACAGGCCTCTTTTTTTGGCCTGCTTAAGAGAAAGCTATGGAACTCAACTTTTGATGCTCAAGGAAGCCCTGGGGAGGGCAGAGGCAACAAGGGAAGGGCACTAGGGCCTACAGCATCCCCCAGGGCCAGAGCCAGGACTGACACCTTCAAGCTAGAGAAGCCCACCAACCCAGACATCAGCTGGGAAAGACACCCCAAAAGTGGAACTGGGAAGGGCAAGGGAATGATACAACCAAAGTATTGCAAGGGAGTCTTAGCCATGGAAAGCCAGGATGGTTTTGTAAGAGACTGTTCTTGGAATTTGGTTCAGTGTTCCGTCAAGCCCTCATCTGGGCTCACGTCCATCTTCATGTTGCTCAGGGAACTCCTCAGTCAGGGTAGTGCAGGAATTTTATAGGGATGGTTCTGTTTAGGTGAGTCTCATTAGCGTCTTACCCTGAGGTCACAGGCAGGAGGGTGCCAATCAGCTAGGGTTACAGAAAAAGAGCAGAGCATAGGAGGAAGATACAAGGAGAGGCTATGGGAGAAGGGAAAGAGAACAAGCTGGCATTTAAGGTTAGGGTTAGAGTCTCGGCTATGTACCAGGCACTGTGTTAAGCGCTTTACAAGTATCCCATTTGATCCTTAAAATAACCCTGGGAGGTAGTTGCTATTATTATCTTCATTTTACAGTTTAGAAAACTAAAGCAGACAGAGGTTAAGTAACTTTCCCAGGGTCACACAACTAGTAAGTGTCTGAGGTCACATTTGAATTCAGGTCTTCCTAACACCAGGCCCAGTACTCTATCTACTGCACCACCTGGCTGCCTCTGTGGCTAGGATATAGACAGCTTGTTGGACTAGAGAAAATAGGCCTGCTTTAAAAAAAAAAAAAGAGAAATTTCCCAGACTAACACACACACACACACACACACACACACACACACGCACACACACTCCTGATTCCAACCCCTAAACCTCTACTGGATTAATTATTATTATTTTTTTTTTTTGGTGAGGCAATTGGGGTTAAGTGACTTGCCCAGAGTCACATAGCTAGTAAGTGTTATGTCTGACTTTGGATTTGAACTCAGGTCCTCCTGACTCCAGGGCAGGTGGCCGGTGCCACTGCGCCACCTAGCTGCCTCTGGATTAATTTCAAACGTTCAAATACCATGCTTTATTTCTAGAGAAACCTGTCTCACAGAGAGAGTCCCATAACTGGAACTGATAGTTCTAACACCCAGCTTGCTAACCTGGCTATACACTCTTTACCTTGTTAAGAGACTGGGATGTGTCAGGTTAATTCTGTGCCTTCTACAACTCAGGGGTTCAGACCTTAGTTCGACTCTAAGTTTATCTTGGGTTTATTCCGTATGCCTGGGGTCGAGGTCACCTGATTCACCTTGAGCTTTTCCAGTTCCTAGGGATCTCCAGAACCAGATATCCTTAGTGATGGGGTTTGAGCCTGTCCATTATGGAATGGCAAGGCCAATCAGATTAGCCCCAAAGGGCTTGCCGGCATGAGCCAAGATTCAGGAGTATCTACTTTCTAGCTCACTTCTTGTGATACATCTTTGAGAGACTGGGTTGATTACTAAAGCTGGTACTCAAATCCAATTCTCTTAAAAACAGAGAGCCTTTTAGAGCTGGGTCATCTCGTCTAGCCTTCCTCTACCCCCTTCTTTTACAAGTCAGGAAACTAAGGCCGGGGGCAGCTGGGCAATTTGTTCAGTCCCCCAGCTATTTTGGAGGCAAAGCTGGAATTAAATGAACCCAACTCTTCTGACAGCTAGTGGAATGTGCTGTCCACCACACCAGACTGCTTCCCCATGGGCAGCCCTCGGGGGATGACCTAAACCTGTCATCTCAGTAATCAGCTCAGAGCTGGTTCTAATAAACTCCATCCACGTATTTGGGGGCTCATCCTCCTTCCTAATCCCATCTGAGCAGCTCAGCCTTCCTTAGATTCATGAAAATCATTCTTCTGACTGTCTTGGCCTCTCACCCTTGCCCCTCAGTTGCTCCCTTCAGCCTTTTGGGTTTCACTCCCACAGGTGACCTTTTCACC